TTATTGGTCGATACTTAACCGAGGGAAGGAGAGAGGGAAGCTCGAGATGGAAACAGGTTAAGGAAAGAATGTTTGGTGTATGGGACGCAGAGGACGTCTGTAGGCAGAGAAAGGAAGAGAGTAAGGTGGGAAGGGGGCAGTTGAAATTGGCTTATGTGATCATGGGGGCTGGCTAGGTGAGTCTAAAATTTGTAGGCTGGAGCTGGTGCTACAGCCCACTGGCAGAATTTCTTCCTCAGAGAATCCTCAATTCTGTTCTTAAGGCCTTTGAACTGAAGTGACAAGTCCCACCCAGGTCATTCAGGATAATCTTTGCATAAAGTTAACTAACTGTAGATGTTAATCACATCTATAAAATACCTTTACAGCAACACTCCAGTAAGTGTTGGTTGAATAACTGGATACTGTGGCCTATTCAAATTGAGACATATAAGTGATCATCAAAATGGCTATTATACGAGTTCCTACTCTATATAGGGCTTCTTTGAGGATTAAATGATGATATGCGAAATGCTTAGCACAGACCTGGTGTAGTCTTAGCAGAGTAAGCCTGAATAAATCTTAGCTGCTATTATTTTATTAGCTTATTATTAAAAATATAAGCAAGAGGCAGTATAACAGGTCCACAGTCATCTTATGCAATTCAGAAACTGAATAAACTCTAAAAACCGGAAGGTTTTTTAAATATGTCGTTTGACAGCAAAACCTGACCTGATCTGAACTCCTTCGGTGATGAAACTTGTTGGAACTGACATAAGTCTATTTATAATCTTCAGTTATCCTACTCAGTGTGAATATTCATGTTCATGCCTTTCTGTGGAAATAGTAATATAGTTGATCACGGGGTGCTGCCTTGGACACCCTGTAAGTGTTATGGTATGTGCCCCATAACACCTTTTTAAAATTTGACAAATACTAAATTCTAAAACCCAGTCAACCCCCAAGAGTTTTGGCTATGGGACTGCGGACCTGTATAACAAGTCTTTCTGAAATATGTAGTGATTATCTTATTTGTTATCACCTTTTTGGATGAGAGCCAGGGCAGGCCCACCTGACCCCGTCCCACGGTCAGCTGTGCGGTCTGTGGTGAGAGCTCAGGCACCCGTACAGGGAGCTGCGTGGGGTCCCCAGTGGAAACTTCAGACTGGAAATCATGAAAGACAGGATTCCGGCTGCGTGCCCTTCCCAGACCGTACTGTGTTCTGGGTCTACGGCACAAGGCCTTGACCCGGTTTCCTCCTTTGGGGCCTTTTAGGTCCTCAGAGTGATCCGCAGCATGGCTCCTTGAATCCCTCCCACACGGGAGTCTGAAGATAGCTCTACTTGAGCTGAAAATCCAGGCTCCTCGGTGCATCCTCAGAGTGCCCGCCCCCCGCCCAGGATGTGTTTGCGCTCAGTCACTGTCTCTCCTTGGAATCTTTGCTAAGGGGGGGTCACGGCTACATTTGTTTTCTGCTTTTCTAAAACTTAACGATAGTGAAGGGTGGGACTGTACTTCCTCCTCCGAAAGGATCATTCTGCACAGACGAGAGGAGTATACAGACAGTGAAGGCTGTGGGATCCAGGTGGGTGAATAAAGAGGCGAAACCACCCTCTCTAATTCTATAGTGGGAAGGTGGCTTGTAGACATTTTGGCTGTGTAAAGAATATATTTTGCATCCTACCCCAGTATACTCACTCCACACTGAAATGCAAGTTCCATGAAGTTCACCAAAACGGTGCTTATTCTTACCATGTGTGATGCGCTCTGATGTTTTCTACTTTCTGTTCTGTTTTAAACATTTTTTTCTATTTCTATTTGTTCTAAACCTGTTGGTAACTCACTAAATTGATCTCATGACCCACTAGTAGGTTACCAATGCCAACTGCAATTAGAAAAAATATGGCCTTAGACCCTTGGAGGCCCACTTAGTTCTGGGAACATCCCCAGCAGTCTCCTTTCCTAAGGAGAGTCGCCACTGAGAGCGTCTCTGCTCTGCCCAAGTCCCTGGTGCGGGGTCTGAGGGTGCGATCGAGCTGGCTGCTGGGCCCCGCCTTCCTGCCGGCCCCAGGCTCCAGGTCTCCCTCCCAGATGCTGGAAGAAGCCCTCCCTCTGCCCTGCTGCTCTTGTGTCCCCTTGTCACGGTAGCACACATGGCACTCTCTACTGGCCCTGCCTGACCACAGGCAGAGCGGAAGGCCAGATGGTAAGCAAGCCCAAGAGGAAAGATGAAAACCTGGCCTCGTTTATGCAGGTGGGTCCCTGATCCCCTTTCATCGGGCCCCCCTCACCCGCTCCCTGTGTCTTTCCTTGTGGTCCTGGGTCTTTCGGATGAATTTCCTGGTATACACTCACCCTGTCCTGGTTGCCAGCAAGTGTGCTGTCCTCCGTGCTGTGTGCCCTCTGATGGAGCCGGCCAGAGAGTGGACTGAGCCTTCGGTTCCAAGGCTCCAGGTTCTGGAACCCGTCCTCCTTCTAATTTGCTCTGTGATTCTGGGCAAGTTTCGTAATTTTCGTGGACCTGGAGAGCCACACCTGCAAAATGAAGGTGTTTGATAGATTATCTTCAAGGCCCCATCCAGTTTTAACTGGAGTCCTTATTGGTCACTTGGGAATTACATTTTTTCCTATTTTTCCTTTAGGAAAATCTCCTTCCACTTGGTTACCTGATTCTTCTTTGATTTTATAACTGTAAAAATTTAGAGAAGGAAAAGGGAAACTAACATTTATTTCCTTAAACTGCTACGTGCTTTATATCTCTTGCCTTGGTTAAGAGAGATTACAGAGGAGAAAGGTGAGGCACAGAGAAGTTAATTAATTTGCCCAAGGCAACACAGCTTATAAGTGGTAGCTCAAAAACCCTGCCCTGTTTGACTTGGAAACTTGTGCTAGGACCACAGCACCCTGGTGGCTCCTCTTTTGGTCTCTTGGGAAAAGACAGACCTCCTGCTGTTATTTCTGACCTGCTGTGAGATAAAAAGGACACCTGATGTGTCTGTCCTTCCAGGTGGATGAGGGGATGGGGGACCATGTGCGAAGCTGGTGCTGGGCACGGGTCTCTGTATTGTGTCTCGGTGGACATTTCTATTCTGGAGTCTGCGTCTATGTCCCCAAGGCTTCCACCCACCCTCTGTCTTCTCGGTTGCCATCTTTCGGGACAGCCATCTCCACACGATAAGAACTCGGCCACCAGCACGCACTTGGCATTACACTGACAGGCCATTCCCCCCAGAATGCCCATGTGATAGGTGCTCAGTGTCCCTTTGTCCCTCGTTGCTATGGCTCCTCTTAGTACTCACACCTTTGATGTAGTTTCGCGAGGAGATAAATATTTAACTGTTGAAGAAATGGAGTGTGTTACTGATAAGAAACATGTTTTTATAGCTTATGAATTTGAACATCAGGTTTATGTGGCTCTTTGCACACAGAAAAGTAATAAATATCAAAGAAAAAGCAACAGAATGGAAAACATGACAACATTCCGTGGGTAAAATTGTAACTGTCGTATTTTTTAAATGGATATAAATACATAACTTGATAAACATTGAAGTTGAGGAACAAATAATCATAGTGACAGGAAAGCAGGAAATCAGCCCAGAGGAAAATGCCATCTCCCGGCCGGATAAGTTGTGCCGTGTAAAATGAGATGAGGTGCAGCAAATGTCCACCAAGATAACAGACGTTCCGGGGACTATCTGTAGGGGCTGATCCGGGAATAATAAAAACCAGCCATTCACTGGGCTTCTAGGCTGTGCCTGCCGTGTGCTCACGTACACTGTTCCGTCGGCGTCAGCCTTCCCGCGAGGTCGGTGGGTGTTATCCCCAAGTAACAGACAGACTGAGGCCTAAGAAGTTATGTGACAGCGTGATATGCTTCTCTGGCCTAGTTGCTTCATGTCTCGAGCCCCAGGTCCTCTATCTGTTAAATGTGGTCATGAAGACACTTGACCTTAAGCTCCATGAGGGCAAGAAGCTCAAGGCCAGCCTCAGAGAAGGCCAAGCAGCATATTCTTGGAGATATTGAAATGCTTATACACCAGCAGTGACTCTCACCCTCACCCTGGCCTGTGAGCCACTTGGCTGGTGTCCGTGTATCACCAATGGGGCTGAGACAAAGGAAAGACCAGGTCTGGTGTGTCCTAGAACTGTGCCGGTCACCTCAACCTGAGCCTGATTTGATGGAAGTTAGAAAATGCATGCCACCTGCTCTTGTGTTATTCTGTTGGGAGGAAATTAAGGTAACACTGTATACCCACAAATACCGCAAAAAAAAGAAGATAATACCCATTGTTATAACTGGGGAAACAGCGTTACTTGTATTTTTCTAGCGCTGTAAATTCTATTTTGAAGGACAAACTGGTAAAAAATATAAATTGATTACATTTTTCATACATTTGGCCCAAGAATTCCACGTATTAAAATAGGCCTTAAGGACATAACTCATCAAATTAGAAAGTAACTTCTAGAAAGATATTCATAATGCTCCCATTTATAGTGCTAAGGAACTGGAAACAACCTAAATATCCAAAATAGAAGAAGAATAGCTAAGCAAACAGGTACACAGTATCACTAATACAAAATACAGCTGTTGAATGACAGCCATTTTGGTTATTTCAATACATAGAAACATTTATATGAAGTAAGGTTACCTCTAAGAAGCAAAATATAAAATAGATCATTTACACTGATTACATCCATGGATGTATATTGGCGATATGAAAGAAAATTCAAGATGAATTAAATAATTCATCATTTAATATTGATTACATCCATGGATGTATATTGGCGATCTGAAAGAAAATTCGGGATGAATTAAATAATTCATCATTTAATATTCTTTTGAATTTTTTCTGCATAGAGTTGCTTCACCATTTGATTTTTTTAGAAAGAAAACTATTGCCGTGGACTTAGGGTGATACTTTGTAACTTTTCCAAGTTTTCATGAGCGGACACGACATTCTGCAGGTCTGGGCGAGCTCCCCAAGGACCTGCTGAGGGGAGGCTGCTTCCCGACTTCACCCTCTGCTCTCTGCACAGCCCATGGTGGGAGGAGGGTTTACTACCTTGAGCTGGAAGAGTTGGGCTCTTCGCCTCCTCACAGTTTCTTTCCCGCTTTCTAGGAAGATCAGCCCATCTACATGGCGGTGAAGGGAGTGGTGTTCGATGTCACTTCTGGAAAGGGTAAGTGGATTGGCTTTATGAATCCTTATTTCTGGGGAGCTTGGCAGCCACTGGACAGGTGAGGAGAGGGAGGGATTGCTGGGCAAGTCCTTTTCCCCCCGAGGGAGTTAATCGTTGTCAGTATTGTACTTCATTATTCTAATAAGGTCACGCTCCTGCAAAAGCCTTCCATGGCTCCCCGTTGGCTACTGAATCAAATCCAAATTCAATGATTTACCCAAGTAGAAGCAGGGAAAGGAAAAGTATCACTTAGCAAAGAGTTGGGATCATAGAACATTATAGACTATTTTAATGCCATTTCATAGTTTCCCTACTGGTAACTACAGATGCTATCATGGAGGTAGTATTGTAATGTTCATTGTTTATCTGATATCAAACAAAGGGTGTTGAACGGAAATAGACTTGGTTTCCCCCGACTTTTAAGAAGACTGAATATTTTTCTTGTTTGCATTTCAAATATTTTAAAGAGATTCTTTTCATTCTGTATTTTAAAAAAATCACCTCTCAGCCCAGCATGTGCAACTTACTCCGTATTTTGAATTAGTGGGACCCAAACTGGTGGCTGGGTTGGCTCAATGGACCTCATGTCTTCACCGCTTTCCCTCTCTCAGGCCTGGAGGCTTTTTGGGGATCGGGCTGGGTCCTCCCTCTCCCTGCCATGCACAGTCTCCTAGGTGCTCTGCATGCACACCCACACTCACATCCTCCTCCTTCTTCTCACTACAGAGTTTTATGGACGGGGAGCCCCCTACAATGCCTTGACTGGGAAGGACTCCACCAGAGGGGTGGCTAAGATGTCTCTGGATCCCGCAGACCTCACCCATGACACTGTGAGCCGGATTACAAGCCTTTGTCAAAATGTCCCACCCCCTCTGCCATGGCCTTTTTTTACCCCTGGGTGACGGCAAAGCATCCTAACTAGCCTATTTGCACGTGTCAGCCAATTATTTTCTCGAAATAGATCTCCTACTCAAAAACCTTCCGTGGCTCCCCATTGCCTATGGAGCCAAGTCCAAACTCTTGCAAACTTGTGATCAAACTCAGTGAGCTTCCCGTTTGGCTGCGACCTGCTTTGGCAGCTCCATCCCTTTTACAGTCTGCACCCAGCATCCCCAGCCTCTTCCAGATCTGTTTGTCCTGAGACCCAGACCCCAAGCCACTCTTGGTAGCTCAGGGGATGAATGAGGTTGCAAAGCAGAGTCTCCTCCATCCTCATATTTCTGTGAGAGAGAAAATAGCATCAAATAAAACCATTTCAGGGTCTACGTAATCCCAACAGAGGGGCTGGCATTCACCCCAACTATGCTCCGATGAGTTAAACTCTTAAGCCACAACATTACAGAAAAAAATTAAGAAATTAAGGAGGGGGAAGGGTATATAAATCTATAACACGAGGCGTGTAGAGAAGAGAGGGATCAATGCGTGCACCCCCATCCCGTCCCAGGCTGGGTGTTCTCTGGTCTTAAAATTCCGACATCAGCCAAATAGCAAAACATGATGAAGCCACTGCTCCCTGCCCACATCACCCCCCCACCCCCACCCCACAGGGTTGTCTCTTGAAAAGTCATTTGTCTATTATTTGGCTTGTTAAGGTATTTTTTCTCTTGCGCTAGGGGTTTGGGGGGAGTAAGGGGTGGCGAGAGGCCAGTGCCAAGCATGAGTCACTCATCTCTATTTCTCATTTCTTGGGCTTTTCTCCCCAAGACGGGCCTCACAGCCGAGGAGCTGAAGTCCCTGGATGACATCTTCACCAGAGTGTACAAAGCCAAATACCCCATTGTCGGCTACACAGCTCGAAGAATTCTTAACGAGGACGGCAGCCCCAACCTGGATTTCAAGCCTGAAGACCAGCCCCATTTTGACATAAAGGACGAGTTCTGATGTTCCATCCGCAGGAACAGGTTCTCGGGAGGGTGAGGCGGGGGGAGACAAGCAGGTGCGAAGTCTCCTGCACGGCAGGCTGCCTAGGCCTCTGGTCACCCGTGGACTCATAACCTGGAAGGCCTAATACCTTTTATTGTCCTTGGTCAAGTGTTCTGTCCACCTGGGTGTCCTGCCTGCACGCCAGCCAGGGTAGCAAAAACAGCCGAAGGCAGAAGCCTCCTGCAGCTCGACGTGGGCTCTGTGGGTGGAAGAATTAGGAGTGACCTTCATCTCTTCTTCATATTTTCTGTACTTCCCGGATTTCCTACTGTGACCATCTTTGCTTTAGAATAAGCACAAAAATAAACTTATTTTCGCAAAAGGAGAATTCTTCCACGTATGCCCACTCCCTGGAGCCTCAGTACCATGTGTGAAAGGCAGTGTGTGCCACCCTTCTGGGGTCCTGCTTTCTGTCTCCTCTGCCTGTGAGGGGCCCGGGCAGCAGGGGGCACCCACGGGCTGTGGCCGAGATGGGGAGGATAACGAGGAAGGATGGAGGAGGGGACTGGCTTTGCACCGCAACCTGGAGAGTGTGAGCTGGCCTGGCCTGGAGGTCTTCCCAGGGATGGCGAAGGGCCCCAAACACGCTGGACTCAGGCCAGCTTTCATAAGGAAATCCACTTTGAGGTGGGATGTTTCCCTCTAAGGCAGTGGTCCCTAACCTTTTTGGCATCAGGGACCAGTGCTCTAATGAGAATCTAATGCCTGATGATCTGAGGTGGCGCTGAGGCGGTGATGCTAGTGCTGGGGAGCGGCTGCGAATACCGAGGAAGCTTCGGATGAAGCTTCGCTCAGCTGGAGCTTCGCTCAGCTGGCTCCCCTGCCGCTCCCCTCCGGAAGCTTCGGATGAAGCTTCGCTCAGCTGGCTCCCCTGCCGCTCCCCTCCTGCTGTGCGGCCAGGTTTCTAACAGGCCATAGACCGGTACTGGTCCATGGCCTGGGTGTTGGGAACACCTGCTCTAAGGAACAGTTGGCAATGTCAAGATATTTTTAAATTTTTTGTTGTCACAGCCGTAAGATGCTGCTGCTGTCTGGGGTCCAGGGACGTTGTTAAACATCCTACGATGCACAGGACAGCCGCCCATGACAAAAAAACTGTCTTGTCCAAAACATCAGTTGTGCCAAGGCTCAGACTCATCTGGAGATCTTATAGCATAAATGAATTTCTTTGACATAAAACTGTCTTTCATTAAAATAAATAGAAGCCACACCCAAGAGAATTTGTGCATTAAGCAGCAGAATCTCCTAGGGTGACCGTTCAGAATGCCGATTCTTGGGTCCCAGATATTTCTAGAACATGGCATGGGAACTGCATTTTTAATGAGTTCCCAGGAGATTATGACACAGTTGGGTCCAGACGTACTTTGAGAAATGCCACCTTATGCCTTTCCGGGCTCCTCGGGGAGAGATTTCTGAGGGCCTCCACTTTACTCTTTCATGTGTCCAGACTGGAGAGCATGATAATAAACCCCTGGGTCCCACTCGGGGGGCTGGGAGCTTCATGATCACCCCAGGGTAACAGGCCTGCGACTTACCCGACTGGATCCTGACCTGGAATTCAGGAAGGTCAAGTGGGTAAGGAGCTTGTACTAGGGCATTTTGCCCCCAAATGAGTGATATATAAGTAAATACAAATTATAAGTCCTCAGAACACCAGAGAGGTGACTTCTCTTACTTATGTGCCTCTTATTTCCCATCACCAAGCAATGGGGTGACTAGGATTCCACTCCTTAGAGCCCCATCTATGCAGGGTGGGCAAGGTCTCCAAATTCAGGTCCTGGGGACTCGACAGGGCCACTGTTTTCCCCACTCTCTTCTCCTCCCATTTCCCCCATCAAAGCAGTTTTCCCTCAGGGCCTCCGTCTCCCCACTCCTCCCCCCGCAATCCTGCCCCATACCCTGCCCTGCACTTCAAAGGCCACCTGTACACCCCAGCAAGAGTTCTCCGAGTAAGAATCTGTCATTTGGAGATTCCAGGTCAGCCTTTGCCAGGACAGCACAGAGAAACCTGGGCAGCCTGAACCGGCCCCACGCAAGGAGGAAAGGGGGTACAGCTCCGGGGAGTGGGGTGCAGGCCGGCCTTGGCATTTGCATCACAGTGCATCTCTGGGACCCAAAGAATGAGACACACAGAACCCTGGATCCCAAAGCCTGCTGCCCGTTTGCTCCTACTCCCACGTCTGCTTATCACATTCTTTGCTTTAAAGGCTTATACATCCTCACAAGACAGCCTAGACACACCTCTGCCAGGAAGTCTTCCCTTCCTGTGGGGTCCGCTATGGCTTAGCACTCACCCACTCTGCTCTAATTGCCTATTTATAAGCTTGTCTTCCCCCGACTCTGCTCTAATTGCCTATTTATAAGCGTGTCTTCCCCCCACCCCCCAACGAAGTCCTTGATGGCCCAGCACAGACGCCCATCTGGTGGCCAACCTTTCCAGACCCTCTGGGTTTTGCACTGAAAGTCCCGCACCTCAGGAAACGCCTCCGTCCCAAGCAAACCTGAGGGACCGAACTGCACCAGCCACTGAGCCAGGGCCTCCTCCCAGTGGAGGGGCTTCAGGCGGAGGGGAGAGGTGGCACAGGGGAGGCCACGTGCCACCTCGGAATGAGAAAGGAAGAAAGTCGCTATGATTCATGGTTCTTTGCCGGGAGAAGAACAAGTTGAAGGAAAGGCCGTGAAAGAGCAGACGGGGGTTGGGTCTTTAACCGACCCCCACCCAAGTTCACGCTCAACTTCCTTCAGAGAAGCTCCATGCCTGGTCTCCACTAGGCGCCCAAGGCACTGGTGTGACGTGTGAAGTCTTTCCCCAGATTAAGTTCCTCCCGCGAGGTACAGCCTCTCCATGGTCTCTTGCAAGGGGAGCAGAGCACCTCCTGCTTCACATTCCCTGCACCCTGGGGTGCTGATAAGTACCCTCCTGTCTCTGCTCTCCAGGCCTGCAGCTGCAGGGGGCCTTGCCCCTGCAGGTGGCACAGAGCCAGTTCCCTGTCATCACAAGCATGGAGTCTGATCTCTATCTGGAGAATAAGACGACTAAGGACAATGCCCCCGAGGGGTGAGCAGTGGAGCTGACCAGCTGCAGAAGAGCAGAGCAGAGGGGACTGACCAGCAACCCAGGTCCTAGAGGTGGAGTCAACGAGGGCATCTGGCCCAGGTCCCAGCCCCATCCCGGGCAGAAGACCCCCAGTCTCAGACACCTGCTGCAGGAGGGCTCTTCACCCCATCCTTAGCTTCCAGGAGAATAAATAAGGGTCTGAATAGAGCAACCTCACTGTGTGCGTTGGCTTCCTTCGAACAGCTGCTTCTCAGAGCTCCACTGTCCAAAGAGCATGGTCTGCCAGGGCACTGTCAGCTCCTGAGATGCTTCTGCTTTCACCCAAAGCTGGAAATTCGTGCTCGGAGCCCAGTCCCTGCAAGACAGTGAGCGCCGCCTGGGCTCTCCCTAGGGATCACCTGCAGGGCCCAGAGAATGCAGCCAGCCCTGCTCTGAAAGACTGCAGAGGCTGCCGGGGCATAAAGCCTTGTTCAAAGAGGCCTGAAACTGCACAGGCTTTTCTGCAAAGGGGGGAGCACGCTGCCCTACTGCATGGGGAACAGGCCTCGATCGCATGTATTCGTTGCCTGGAGAATTATTTAATACACAACGTGTCGCTCATCCTTCATGCTCCAGCACATGTGGTGCGACCTCAGGGCCAGATGCAGCTTTCTTCCCTGGGCTCCTCTGCCAAGGGAGCTGCTTCTAAGCCATTCTGGGGCTTTCTCAGTGTGCAAGGAGTTAACATCCCCACAGCAACCTCCACCAATAGGGGCTGAAGCCAGAAGACCAATCCTATAGCCCGAAGCTCATTCTACAGGTTCCTGAGGGGCTCAGGTGAGGCCGAGCCCCAGCTACACGCAGTGGTAACCAGCTCAGTAACACGCACTTGAACTGGCCCGGCCTCCTCCTCGGTTTCTTCTCAGTCCCCTGCACCTGATCCCAACCATCACTTTCCGACTGTGAGTCCCTGCTCGCCAGCCCCTACCCCGTCTTTGCTTTGGGGGGAACCCAGGCTAAGACACACGTTTATGACCTCAGTAACTGCGAACAGTGACCCAGCTCAGACTCTCTGGTTTCCCAGATGTCCTGAAGAGTCTCCCAGAGTCCCAAGGGCAATGGGGAGACCCGACCCTCTCCCCGCAGGACACTGCCTGATATCACATGTGCCTGAGTGTACCCTCTGCGGTGCAGCTTGTTCCACCCCCGAACCCCACCTGATGGTTTGGGTCCTTGTCCAGCTGTCACTTTTCCTGGGGTCAGTCCCTCCCCACACTCCAAAAGTTAAGTGACTCCAGTTCCAGAAGGCGCCTTATTCACAGTCTCCCCTGGGCTCTTGCACATGCTATGCTGTTCCCTCTGCCTGGCATGCTTGTCCCCCTTGGCCACCTCACCTGTAAAACCTTCTCTCGGCTTAGAGATCACCTCATCAAGGAAGCGTTCCCAGATCCCTCCCTGCCAAGACGGTACCCAGCAGCCCTCCGTGGCAGCACCGATCCAACTGCTCTGCAATTATATTTTAATCTGTCCATCTTCCTACCAGGCTGGGATGCACTTGCCCTGTTCTCGGTTGTCTTTCCACCACCTAGCACAATGCCCAGCACATCCTATGCTTGGAAAAATGAACGGATGAGTGGATTAGTGCTCCCACGCCCAGGTCACCCCTCTCCTTGTCCTTGGCGGTCTCCTCCCACTCCACACTCAGGGATGTAGGTCTGAATTCCAGGCCCCACCCTGGGGCATTGCACCAGCTCCCATCCTCCGGCCAAGGTCTTCCGCAGAGCCCGCTGGGCCTCCCTTTCAGGATCCCTCCTGGACAGACCACACCTGAGCCTTTCCGCAGCCTTGTCATGTGGGGAACATAAAAATAGGAAGTGGTTCCCCTGGTAACCACCGCAGCAGATGGGAACCAGCATGGACGGTGCTGGAAAGCCTTGAGGCTGGGAAGAAAGGAAACTGCCCCGACTGGTAGCTATCCGCCCTGGGCCGGGCAGGGAGCCTTCTGAGCTGCCTCTCCTCTCACGGCTTCCTGAGGACCACCTGCTCTGACGCCCACCCAGACTTCAGCCTGTCGGTCCCTGCGTTACTGCCCTTCCCTCCCTGTGAGGTCACTGAGGTCCTCTTCTGGCTGCCCCATCCTGTCCAGTGCCTCATTTCAGACGCTGCCAGCAGGAGACTCAGTCCTGTTGCCAGAGGCCTAATATCAGGCGCGCCCATTGGACCAGGCCTCGCCCGGACTGTCTGGATCTCTGCCCAGGTCTTCAGCGCCTCTGGCTCTGGACTCTCCCCTA